TTTATTTCCGCAGTGTTTTTGTTAACCATGGAGAGAGAATTAAAAGACTTTCAAACTAAAATATCTGTTGTAATATTTTTATTATTTTATTTAAAAGAAAAATCAGCATAAAGTCTCTTTACTACAAGAATCAAGACAAAAAGTATTGTAAAAAAGATGTATTCTTATTATCGTTTCATTATGCACCCAATAAGACTGAATAATTGAGTCAAAAAGGCATTGCTTGATAATGTAATAGTTAAATATTTGTTTCATACTTAATTAAATATTATAGATACTCTTCGCAGAGGATATATGATTAATGATAACAACCAATAAACTACATCTAAAACAATTTCACATATTTTTGTATCCGGTCTACTTTACTGAAATGAATTTGAAATGTTTTATTAAGTTATAACAAATAACATTAACCAAGATTGGTTTCAACAAGAACAACTTGGCGTGAAGCCATTTCATGCTATAAAGTGTTGAAATATCAGTACACAGGTAATGGTTTTTATTTGTAAATGTATCTTTGCTAAGGCAGCTTAGTTATCAACAAGAACACCTTTTACTTTTCGGTTTCGACACCAATTTGTTTTTCTAAGCACACAAAAACATGAAAAATAACGAATTTCACAACACTTTCACTGTAGCCTAGGCTTCGGCAAACATTGTTGAAAAAACCTACAGTTAGCAGTGATGTAACGGTTCTGAAATAACTTTTTAACTCCAGACTTAGATAGACCAAGAGAGAACTTGTTAAGCCTTAATTTCCCACCCAGAGTGCCGTGAACTCTGGTGGCATGCAAAAGATCTATTTATAGGATGCTCATTAAAGCTTGGGTGTCGGTTGTTTATCTTTCTGCAGATTCTCAAATATAAGTTGGATGTCTGTCTTCTGTCTGTTTAATTCTTGTGTGTAGTTAATTTTGAATTAGTGCTAGTTTCCGCGTTAGTTGATTTTCACAAATTGTTAAATAAATGTAGAATACCACTCTCACGCATCATTTTTTATTTGTTTATTTATTTTTGTAAGCATTCGCGAATACTATTTACTTCACTTTAATAACGCATCGGATTCGTAGAAGAAAACCTTTACCGTTTCTGAAACTATGTAAACTAAGGCAGATTTAAAAGGCAGTGCGAGCAAATTCATCAAATTATTTTGTAATATATGTACCCGTAAATTTCTATTTTATGATATTATTTAATGCGTGATTTGCGTTACGGAGTTATGTTTTGTGACTGTGCTTTGGTAACATAAATATAATATATGATTTGTATAAATGGTTACGGTTAATTTAACCACGAAATGCATGCTGTTGTGTGGTTATGTTTTACATATATGTTTCTGGTATCTATGCTGTGCTGACATAAGTACAATATATGATTTGTATAAGAGGTTACGGTTTTCTTATTGTGAAATCAACTGCACATTTTGCACATATTATTATAATGTGATTCATATTAATACTTTACATATATTATTTATGTTATGTACTCGTATAATTACGTGTAAGATATTTGTATGTGGTATGTACTAATGCGGTTTTAGTCTACCAATAAGTGTATTGTGTATTTTCTGCACTGATGTTCGATGTTATATTAATGCCTATAATTACATGTAAATGTATGTTGTATGTTATATATTCATGTGCTATTCTTTGGTATATATATGTAAATATAAAGTAACTTCCAGAATGTGTTTTACTTTCTCTTTCAACTGTAAAACTGTTTACAACTCCAGAACATTCAAAAACCAAAATTTCGTAGGTTTGATTACTCTGCAGCGTTGAAATATTAACATTTAGAAATAGAATTATGAATTTTAAATATAAAATATTATTTTAAATATATAAAACCTTAAACAGTTGTAAACCATTATTATATTTGTGAAATAATTTAAAATACATAAACTCATAATTTAAACTCACAAAAAATTGTGTAATCTCTGATTAAATGTTATAAATTAAAATTCATAAAGCTATAAATAGACTAATTACGTAATGAAATGCAAGCTATGCAGAATTCTAATTTAAAATTGCAATAGACGAAACATCAGTTATAATAAACTAATAATTTAATGATTATTATAATTGAATAAATCACTTACTCTACTCACGTTTTAAGTTGATGTCATTATGTCTGAATCGGGATCTGGGAGGGTCAGATTCAGTTTCCTTTATCTTCTACTGATGTTGTTATCCCTCGTAGAACTGTTTCTACACCATCTTAATTTACTTTTAAATGCTAGACGTTACATGTGAGGGCTCTGTATTTCTTGACATTAACCATTGCCAAGGCCCATGTCCATTCATGTACTACGTATAGCATTTTGTATTGTATATACTTCTCTTAGTTTGGTGTGTATAGTCCTACACATTGTAAACAGTTCTATATATATTGCAAGACATTCACTTGTTAGTATATCACGAAAGTATTATACATATAGTACCTATTTTAATATATTATCCAAATAATATAAAACTCAAAGTCTAGCGGTAGATGGCCTGTTGCTATGCTTACCGTATATATTAAGTGGGAAGAGGAAATTAGGCATAGTTTCATCGTGTATAGTATGGTGGTCTAAAGAACTTAGCAATTCATTTTTGTTGAGTTCTTTTCAGAACTATCTAGTAGTCTGACATTAATGTATTGTACATTAAGATACTTATTTGAAAAAGGCGAGAAAGATGAAGACATTCCCACTGTTTTGTAACTTTGCCAATCAGCGGACATGAATTATATCGACCAAATAACCAATTATAAAGAACCTGCTTCTACGTTCTTCGCCCTAAGGGCCCAGATTTCAGATCTTGTAAATACGATGTGTTACCGTGTCTCTGCCATTGCAAAGGGAAGATCCATTAAATAATATTGATAATCTTATACTCTTTGATTCCTCTTTATTTATTTAATAAAATTACATTATTTCTGTAGTAGGTGTTTGTTTACTTATCACCAGACTATGTATTTTTTAATTACAAATAAATGTTTATATTTCAGCCGTTCTCTAAATAAGTAATACTTCATAATTCAGATCGAATTGTACTAAAGAGATGTTGTCTTTGACCTTATTAAAATCAGAGATATTTACTGTAATTAAAATGATATTTTATTGATGTAACTTTGATTCTATAAACTGTGATGGACGTATCACGGTAAGTTGATTATCAGTTTAATAAATAACTGTATGTGGTTCTAAGATATTACGAAGCATTACGTAGGAAACATCAAGGGAATCGACAGTAAGTTGGCTTTATTTGTAACTGAAATTTACTTTGTTCAATCTTTGTAAGTTATTTTTCATCATGATACCAACCACATATCTTGAATAACTTAATAAATTTTGTTTTTCATAATCTCCGGAAGAGGCTGCAGAAGTGTCAAACTACTTATTTTTTTACTTAATTCAATATACTGAAAATAACAAACGTTTTGTATTTTAATAAGATTTCTTGGTAATATTTTATCACTTATATTAGTCTTACCCCATTCACTACAAGGATGGCCACTAGATGACGCTATGTTATAATTTTACGAAAATAATACCAAACATTAGAAGACTGTGTCAGCATTTTAAAAAAATAACGTTTGCTTTTTAGTATTTATAATTAATAAAAATTTAATTTCATCAGTCAGAAGCAATTCCTTACTTAAGTATTAGTTTTTTGCTCTTTTCTTTTCCAATTAAATGCAGATTTGCATTAAAAACTTTGATACAGCAATTCCTATGTAATGAGTTTCATAACAAACAAATGTCGCATCTGTTCTGAACTTCGCCCATATGTGTAACTACGTAGTTTGATGTACTTACTCTCCAGAATATAGTGCTTCAGGAAGACCACTTATTTAAAAGATAGCATTTGTTCATAATTGTATCTTGAAATGATACAATGAAATCTTAATGAAATAAAAAATATAAGCGTAAATAGGTTAGCTCCTCTAAAAGACAAAGGTTAGCATCTGGGGCTCTGTAGTCCCATTTTCATCTACTGTTTTTTATATATTTATTATACATTAAATATATAAAATTACATCTGTATATTTTAAACTCGATCTAATGTTGATTTTTAAACGTTGTTATCGTAATTTAAGAAACGGTGTAGAAGTAACTTATACTGACTTTTGTGAACACGTGTTTTTAACAAATGGAAATAATAAATAGGGTTTAAAACCCGTTTCCTGATTCCTACCTCGAGGGAAAAAAATAACCAAACTCTCTGTGTTACTGAAAAACAATTTATTCTACAGTAATATAATAATAAATACACAAAAAAAGAACACTTTGATTGTTCGGAAATATTTTATTATTGACAACAATATTATAAGTACTTTTAATCTTATACTTTCTTGCTTTAAAACAAGTGATTAAAGATATTATTGTGTTACCATGGCAATAAAACATTAATATTGTTAAAGGCGAAGATGTTTCTTTTACATGTATGTAAAGCACTTTTTGTTAATATTCAATGCTGGGAATGAATAACAAACATCTAAATTATTTTACAAATGTTCTGAATTAGAGAAGTGTGGATTATTAATTGTATGAGCTAATTCAGTTAATTCTATGAATCATATCAGGAGTTTTTGTGTGTTTATATTCTTCATCTGCTTTGAAAAAGTGATTTACCAGCTGAATCTAGTGACGTCAGTATAAAATATTCCGAGAGATGGCGCTATATTGCATGTGAAAGCCAGGTAATCTGAATAACTTAAAAGTAGCAAATGAACTCTTTAACCCTGTCAGTAAGAGCGCTTGTTTTCTCTCATGCCAGTGGACGAGGCTCCGAAACTCGGGGGTTACTAACGGTGTCCAGGGGTTAATAAGGGATATAACCGAACGTGAAAATCTTGAAATACATTATGCATGGTTGGTTGGTTGTTTTGAATTTTGCGCAAAGCTACACGAGGGCTATCTGCTCTAGCCGTCCCTAATTTAGCAGTGTAAGACTAGAGGGAAGTCATCACCACCCACCGCCAACTCTTGGGCTACTCTTTTACCAACGAATAGTGGGATTGACCGTCACATTATGGCGCCCCCACGGCTTAAAGTGCAAGCATGTTTGGTATGACGGGGATTCGAAACCACAGATTGCGAGTCGAGCGCCCTAACCACCTGGCCATACCGGTCCCATTTTGCACGGACGTCACACCACTTCAGTTTCAGTATAGCATCTCGTATTTTGTAAATTTGTTTATTTTCTATATAATATTTGGAATTTCATGTTGTTGCTTTTTTTTGTAAAATCATGGCCATTTTAGATGTGCGCATCGCCTGGACGTGTTGTTGGTCTCAGACTTTCCAGAAAAGATGCGCAGAGAATTTGTAAATTCTTTATCAATTTCAGTAAACGTTTTCTATATTTGTTACTATTAACGTCAAAGAAACGTAAATTTCTATGTTGCCTGCAGGTTGCACAACAGTGGTTTATAAATGTGGGTTACGTTTGTCTAGATTTACTAAACCTAGATTATGAAATAATAACATTATTTAATTCACGAGTTGGTCCCAAGGAATTCTCATATAGAAATACATTATAGCGGGCAGCGTAGTTCTTATGACCCTCCCATTATAGAGGTTTATTTCAGTGACAGGGTGATGAGAAAATGAAGTACAGTCTTGATAATATTTATAACATATATATATATAAATATTATCAAAAATATAGATGAAAGGATTTAACCATAATAAAAATACTGATAAAATTTTGTAAACTGGAATTAGCTGCGTCATAATAATTTGAATGGAGTAATAGTATGCAAATATAAAACATATTTCTAAAATTATACTAAAAAGGTGATACTAATACATACACTAGGTGAAGTTATATGTTCACATATCTGCTGTAACCGTAAAGGGAAGAAGTGACAGGATGGATGACTTCTTTTAAACTATAGCTAGAAAGTGACTTCAAGAAATAATAGACTAGAGTGAAAAAAACTGTACACGAAAAATTTGGCATAATCTCTGAAACGCTTTTACCGTCTACATAGTTGTTTGAAACCTCCATATGTTCTTTAGATATTTAGATATAACATTTCAGAAACATTTAGATTAGAGAATAAATAAAAAGGCTGTTTTACTTATAACTAAATTGTTTGGCATTCTAAGTAAATCGGTATTTCTTTCAAAACTAAATGCTCTTCGATACTATTGTAACAGAAATTCATAAGTTACCATTTAGTTTCGGGTTCTATAAAAAAAATGATCATTCTTTTAAGTACCAGATGTGGCTACCGAGTTTCTCTCTCTAAAGCCTGACAGTTAGGCTATGTACAATAGAATGTACTCCATCCTATGTCATTACTGTCTGATACCACCCTAACGTTAACTCACAGTTTATCATAGTGCTTCATCTCTACAGTTAAATGTGTAACCGTTAACGTCATCTAAACTGTGAAGTAACTGTTTATCCGGTGGTCGCCTCCGTTTAAAGAAACCCACCTGAGAGAAAAAACAAACAAACAAAAAGCATTCAGTTAATAAACAATGGAAATATTCTGTATTTCTAAATTATTATTTAAAAAATACAAACAGCAAAGCGGTAAGTCTTCCTCATTAATCTGCGGACTGGCTTAAACTTAAAACTTATAAAACTTAACAAGAAAAATTAAAATCACAAGATATAAAATATAAGATTACAATAAGTTACTGTTTAGTAATACTGAATCAGTATTTTTTCAGTTATAACTACCCTGGTCACTTAATTGAGATGCAAATTTATGCTAGGACTTCAGTTGTCATTTTGCAAAGATCTGCATTATTAAAATAAACCTGGATAAATGCTAAACCCAATTTCCCGTAGTTTTTAACAGTGGATGAAAGATGGTAAATTTCTAAATATTGGTTCAATTCAGATTACCATCTTGACCAGTTTTGG